CCCCAAACCCCCAAAGCCCTAAGCCCTAAAGCCCTCAACCCCTAAGCCCTAAACCCTATAAACCCTTAAACCCTTAAGCCCTAAACCCTATAAACCCTTAAACCTTAAGCCCTAAACCTTATAAACCCTTAAACTCTGAAGCCCTAAACCCGAAAAGCTCTAACTCCCAGGTTCCACGACATCTTTGGTGCGAAACGAAGACCTCGGCGAGTTCCGGAGCCGGTCGGGGGCTCGAGTTTGGGGCATGCGGCTCAGGGTTCGCGGTTCAGGCTTTAGTAAGGGTTGAAGTTTAGGGTTGTCCGAGTTTAGAGTTCAGGGTTTCGGGTTCTGGCGCTGTTGGGTTTGGAGTTTGCGGTTGAGGATTTAGGGTTTAGACTGTATTATTCAGCCTTGGGTCTTGAAGTGTCCTAGGGCCGTCATTTTCGCAAGTGTAGAAAGGGTTTCTGTTGAGGCCGTAGTATGATTTATATGGTTTGTTGAGATCAGCTAAAGTTTCAGTGGGTCTTAAACTTTTAAATAAGGCAGGTAGTGAGGTCTCAGGTTGTTGTTGTTGGTTGTTTTTTTTGGGGGGGGTGGGTGTCAGGGCCTTTGGGGGCTTGAGCGGTTTTGGGCCGGTGCTGGAGGAGCCGGATTTTAGGGTGTCCGTTGGCGTTTGGGGCAGTTTAGGGTTGAGGGTCAACTCTGGTGGTTTCTTCAGAGGCCTGGTGGTTCGTCAAGGGTGTATGCTTGTGGACTCAGTGAGGCCCGGAAGAAGCATGACAGGGGACCGTGAGGTCTCAAGGTTGGGGCTTTTAGTGTAGTTCGGTTCTAAGTTTCTACAAGAAGCTTTCCAGAACCCCTTAGCAACTGTGTAGCAACCTCAGAGACATTGTGGAAACTGTATGGAAACCCTTTCGGAACCGCTATAGAGACCGTCTAACATTTCGGGGGTCTGGGATTGAGGGATATGGGAATTAGGGGTTTGCGGGTTCAAGGTTTCAGGGATTGTACAGGGGTTTTGCTGTGCAGTGCAGAGAGTGCCAAGAATTTCGAGGGCGAGGCTGCTCAAAAGAAAACCCCTGCTCAGCTTTCCGCCTGTCCTGATCGAGCCCATGGCTGGCTACAAGACTGCCAGCCACGACAAGTTCTGGAGTCGGCCAACCACTTGGCCCGCGAGGAAGAGTGTGCCCAGGAGAGTCCCCGATGCCCCGCACGTCGTCCCCGCCACAAAGTTTCAGGAGCCGTGCGGCGTCGAGGAGACGCTTGAGTCGAGGAATTGGGATGTACCGTGCACAACCCGAACACCGACAATCAGGCGTGCTCGGGACCCCAATCAACTTACGGGTTGGACGATGTAGAAAGTTTCCAGACAGCTTAGTCACTCTACACCTGAGGCTGAGATTGTTGCGGCCGACTGTGCTATGACTCGTTTGGGGCTACCTGCCATCACTCTTTGGCAGCAACTTGGTGGCAAAGACCCCAACTAAGTCTTCTATGACGACAATCAGACCATCATCGGAGTTATCCGTACTGGCAAAAATCCAACAATGCGTCACCTTGAGCGTACGCACGGTATCTGTATCGGCTGGATGCATGCCATCTTTCAGGAAGGGTATGTGTCATTGGCTTACGAGGTCACCGCTAAGATGGCTGCGGATATTCACACCAAGTCCTTTAATTTAAGGACGCCGTATCCTGGACATCGCTGACATGAGCACGGCTGGGTGTTGTTGGGTTCAAGCAAGTTTCAAAGCTGTTGCCGACACCTCTCTCTCACCCTCACTTGCAAGGAGCTCTACAAGGAGAAGGCCAACGACCGCTGGCTGCGCACCTTCTGCGAGAACCTGGACAAGATCCAGCGGGAGAAGAAAGGCTTCGTCCTGCAGATCCAGCAGGGCGTGGTAAGAGAGAAGTCAGACATGCAGATAGCGGAAGAGCGCATGGGGAAGATGTGGTCCGTTCCACGCATCGGTCTCTATGCCTTTCCGATCACTTATGTTTGAGGAGGCAGCACCCTAGCAGAAGAGTTTCTGGCCGACGCAGTGGAGAAGGCTCACAAGCAGTGGGAGCAACGCGACATCAAGGACGAGGCCGAGATGGTATCAGAGTGCTTCGAGCCACTCGAGGGCGACACGGAGCTGCCCCTCAACGACGAGGGCAAACTCGAAGGCCGGGCTCGGTGCAGGTGGCCGGACGGCGCCGTCTACGAGGGGAACTA